TGAGCTCTTCATAACCAAAGTGACACTTCTGCGGTTTGATTGTAAGATCTGCTGATTGAATAGCCTGTAGCACACTCCTGAGGCGATGAAGATGTTGCTGGAAGGTTTCAGAAAAAACGACATCATCAAGGTATACGAGACAAGTTTGCCACTTCAGACCAGTAAGCACAGTGTCCATCATTCGCTGGAAGGTTGCGGGCGCTGAGCACAAACCAAAAGGAAGGACTCGAAATTCATACAGGCCATCAGGGGTAACAAAGGCCGTTTTCTCGCGATCTCGCTCGTCAACCTCGATCTGCCAGTACCCGCTTTTTAAATCCAAAGAGGAAAAAGTGGGCGCGGCGTAATCTGTCTAACGAGTCGTCGATGCGTGGCAGCGGGTACACGTCCTTTTTAGTCACGCTGTTCAGCTTCTGGTAATCGACGCAAAAACGTAGCGTTCCGTCTTTCTTCTTGACTAGGACGACCGGAGAGGACCACGCACTGTTGGAAGGCTCGATGATGCCGTCGTCAAGCATTTCTCGAACTTGCGTACGAATGGCTTCTCGTTCCTTCGCTGACACACGGTAAGGCTGTTGGTGTACTGGGCGGGCGTCGTCGTAAGTGATGATTCTGTGCCTAGTGATCGAAGTCTGGCGCACCTTAGAGGAAGCATCGAAGCATGACTTGAATTCAAGCAAGCGTTTCGCAGTGCTGTCTGGTTTTCTGGTGTGAGGTTAGAATTAATATCGATATTGTTTAGAGACGTATCGGCGGCCTCCACTGCGTCCGACGAGAAGCAGATGGGAACGGTACTTAATTCATCTGCAAACGCTAACGAAGTGCCACGGAAAAGGTGTCGGTGTTCGTTGCTGAAATTTGTAACGAGCAGTTGAGATCGGCCATCACGTAGCTGTATGATACTCCTAGCCACACAAACACCTTGAGTCAGCAGGTGTTCAAAATTACTTTCTGCAATCGCTTCACCATTTCGCAATCCACAGCATGTGACGTCGACAATAACACTGGCTCTTGGAGGAAGCGTTATACTTTCAACAGAAACACGAAGAATGTCGGCGCGTTTTTGGTCGTCCTGCTTGTCGATTGCTCGGTCGGCTGAGAAGGTGATGCGATTTTCTTGAAGGTCAATGACAGCTCCATACTCCTGCAGGAAGTCAACACCAAGAATAACGTCGCGTGAACATTCACGGAGCACAAGGAAACTTGCTACAAAAGTATAACCGCAGACCCGAACTCTACTCGTGCAGGTTCCAAGCGGAGAGACGGTGTGGCCACCAGCCGTTCGAATCACAGAGCCATGCCAGGGCGTGATTACCTTCTTTAGTAGTCTGGTCATTTTCCCGCTTAGTATAGAATAGTCAGCCCCGGTATCAACTAAAGCACCTACTGCATAGCCGTCTATCAGCACCGGTATATCCAGAGAAAGCCGCACATATCGCTCAGTCGAATCCACACCCTTTACTGTTAGCGTTGATCGGAGGTCTTCAGCACGTCGACTGCCAGCGACCTCGCCTCCAAGGGTCGCTTGCGTTAGTTTTCCCGGCGGGGACTGGGGGACCGTGCGCCAGCATGGCGCTGTGGCGAAGATGAAAAGCGCCTCGGCGACGGTGAGCGCGGCTGCCGTCCAGAAGGCGGTGGCATGCGCTGTTGAGCCAGGTAATCCTCGATGTCCCGGGGTCGCTGGCCATACCGAGGAGGCGCTGAATATACTGAAAAGCCGTGCAGCCCGAGGCGCCGGTATGGACACTGGCGGTACAAATGGTCCGCTTCACCGCAGTGGAAGCACAAAGGTCGGCGATCAGGAGTGCGCCAAACATCAGATTTCCGAGGCGAAGCACGTCTGTCGTCAAGGTAGTGTGCTGGTTGTTCCGCAAGATGCACAGGGTTGGCGTAAACGAGGGGTGTGGGCGTGCGTGTGTTCTCGTAGTACCGTAGAGGCTGCGCCGACTGAAGTGAAACTGTAGGAGGTGCCTGAACAAACAGCGGGGAAGAAGAAGCTGGGCGCTTCAAGGCTTCTGCATAAGTCGCACGGTGGTAGTCAGCCGGGGCGGGTGTGGCGTTATCCAGACTCACAGGGTCACGCAGGGCATGATGCAGCTCGTCCTTGACGATACTTGCAATAGAACTCACCGTAGGTAGTGGTGGTGTGGCAGCCTTTTGCAGCTCCTCGCGCACTATAGAGCGGATAAGGTCGCGCAGACACTCGGTGTTGTTCCCAAAAGTCGTGAGAACTTGAGCAGTGCTCACTTGCCGCTCATACAGGGTGGATCGATGCTGACGCATCTTTTCCATCGTGACGGCTTCAGACAAAAACTCGGCGACCGTGCTCGGAGGGCTCCGTACAAGGCCAGCGAAAAGCTGCTCCTTAACTCCCCGCATCAGGTGACGCAACTTCTTTTCTTCTGTCATACTTGGATCGGCCCGTCGGAACAGGCGCGTCATATCTTCCACATAGGTCGTGACAGTTTCGTTGGGCATCTGGATGCGGGCCTGGATTGCTCGCTCCACTCGTTCGTGGCGATCAGCACTTCTGTAAGTGTCCAACAGCCGGCGGCGGAATTCGGGCCACGATGTCATCTGTTCCTCGTGATTCATGTGCCAGGTACGTGCTCCATCCTCCAAATAGAAGTACACACGCCGTAATTTGGCCGCGTCGTTCCAGTCGTTCAAAGCAGCCACGCGTTCGAAGTCGACCAACCAGTCCTCGACGTCTTCGAGCTCGGTGCCATGAAACGGTGTCGGAACCTGTGGACTTTCGAGGGTGTACCGAGTCACCGGGGGGTTTCCCGTTCCTGTTAAAGTGGTTTGAACGGACGTGCTCATCATACTGGTGTGAACTGTAGGGTCAGCTTCGGGTGGCGATCCCCTGATCCTGCGGCTTGTCTGATGAACGGGAGTGTGGACTCGCACTGGGCTTGTGGTGCCGCTTCCAGGAGGGGTCTGAAACATCCGTGAGGGGCTACCCAGCACCTCCACCAATTGTCACGTCGCTCCAGGGGGTGTCGACAAGGTTTATTGATGTCCGAGCAACAGGGCTCTAACCAAGCGCGTCGGTTGGGCTTGTTTGCCAGAGCGGGGGATGATGATGATGATGAATCCACAGACATGGCTCGTACCCACTCCGGGGGATTGGCCAAGAATCGATGACTTAATTAAGTAGGTTTTTTTTAATATCGAAACCACCCACCAGAAAAAAGAAAGAAAAAAGAAAAGACACCCTAGTCAGAATGAAAGGAGTGCAATAGTTGCTTGTCACTCCACGCGCACTTCTTTCTTCTCTGCGGTGTGAGCCTTCACCTTGGCATACGACCCACTACTAGAAGTAGGTGGCAATATTAATGAATTACCCCCGTATTCTAGAACGTCCCTTCATTCGACACTTCACCTTCACTTGAGAAAGGCGATGGGAGCACCTTCTCTATAGGCACGGCAAGTCACTGCATATCATCAATAATCTGCTGCGATTCTTGAGTAGCGCAGCGTCATTTTTAGCCGAGCGGTGGCGCATTGCTCAACTCTGTCAAGTGAAGGGTGGAAGTCGAGTCGAGGAGCGTTTGTGAATACGGGGGTTAGCATTTATTTCGCCTGAGATGCTATAGACTACTCGCTTACGCGAATCACACACTAATTTTCCGCGACTGCGCGAATACCTTGGAAGGTCACTCGGTCCGAATTAAATCGAAGCCATCTTCTGTTTCGTCGTGCTCTACAAGGTGGCGCTTGAAGGATCTCTAAAATAAAGTCCCTGGATGTTTTTTTAGGAAAGCAGCGCCATTCTTTTATCCGAGCCGCCGCGCCACGCACACACCTCTCCCGCCATAGAGTTTCCTAAAATTAACTAGAGGCGACTCTAGCGCTGCGATCGTTCAGCGACCATGGGAATGGTGGGTATGTACACGCATTTGCCTATAGTCTTCGTACTCGCGGGCGGCGAATTGTACTTGCGGCTTCGTTTATTGCTGGTTACAGTTTTGTTTTGAAGGAAAAAACGAACCCTTTTGTACTTTGTGACCTGATTGAAAATTGTAAGCCTAAAAAAGATAAGGTCGCGCAAACGCTGAACATTTGCTTTCCTTTTCGTAAAAAAAAAACAGCACCAAGTCACGCGAACACACACGGAGCTAGAAGCAGGCCAGAAGTACGAAAATTAAACAAATGTGTGTACTACCCATCAGTCCCATGCTCGCTGAAGCGCCGTGCGTTGCAGCTACCATAGACACTAGCGCCAGAGTTCCCTCAAGTGTACATTAGGAAACTGTATGTCTCCCGCCTCTTGCCTCTCGGGCCACGCCGACGAGCATCGCGCGTGCTTCAGCGCGACATAGCATTCTTGATAGTAAAGTGGCACGAGCCGGGTTATAGGGCCGGCTCGTGCCATAGGAGATTATATAGATTAGGTCTGGACACTTGGGAAAGGAGGGTTGGACACTTTGGAGAGGATATGGAGGAGAGTGTCGGTACTTTCTCTATATTAAGGGGCTTTACTCTAAAACACTGGGAGTTCAAAGGCGACAAAGGGACCTCTTCCTCGCCTTCACTGCCCTTCCTACCAGCGATATTTCCTCGTCGCCACTTACTTCCTGATAAAACACGGAGACAATATCAGCAAACAAGCGCTGAAACTATATATGGATTTCCCACTTTTGGTCTACTCACTGACATCTCCACTTGTGTAGTGGAAAACCCACAAAACCCGAACTGAAATCGACTGATGGCGCACGACAGCCATGCAAGACAAGGCAGAACGGGCGTGGGAATGCGCTGAAATGCAGGACAGCAAACAATTCACAACTTAAAATTCCTCGTATATGGAGTGATCGAAAGCTTCTTTTTTTTTTTTTTTGCCCTCATATCTAGCGCCAGCGAATTACGGCGAAAAGACGGGTATATCCAAGGAGATAATGACGTGCTGGCTCATTGTACTTTCAGGAGTCGTTTAGGAGTCCCTTGAAATTCGTAGAGTGATGGTAATTCCTGCGTTTGCATCTCCTTAGTCACAGGAGCAGGAGAGCAGCATCGTGTTCAAGAAGCTGTCCAAGCCAGAGGAAGAAGAGGACGAGCAGGACGAGTTCGTCGAGCCGCCGGCCTCGGCGCTGCACAGGAGGCAGGCGCTCGTCCCACCAAAGGTACACATATGTCCTCACGAGTGATTGCACATGCCCATTGTAAGAAATACGTACAGCGCGTACAAGGGCTAGTTGGCAGTAAGAACGACAACTCCCTGCCCTTTCATCCTCAGTAGGTGCGTGAATAAACATTACTTCCCTTTTTAAGAAAGAAGAGGGGCCGGATGGAGAGAGAGAGAGGAATATTTTGTTATCCGGTTTCGAACGGGGCATGACGTCGTGTGGCATGACGTCCAGTCTACACATCGTGGTATAATCCTCCGCTTCAGCGCACCCCATAGGACTCGTTTATAGAGGGCGGTATCGCAGCTGCGCAGGGCCGTCTTTCCACAGCTACTCTCTAGCTAATTAATGTTCGTAGCGCGCTGCACGTAACATTTACATTGGAGCACCAACTTGAAGTAAAGAAAGCGCAAAAAACAGGAAACTAGTAAAAAAAAGGACACAGACCTCTTTATCGGTTGTCTTCATTTCGACCTGTTCTTCAAATATGTCGTACCACTTCGCCCAAGCGAAAACGTTTAAATGCTGGACAGCCCCTACAAAAACCGTGCGCACTTTCCCATATTATTTACCTTCTTCTCGAGTACAGTTCATAAGCATTCTTCGGATGAATCTTGTTATCTTACTCAATCGTCAAAAGAAGGATTATCTCAGAACCCAACCTGTCGATAAGGGAGAACCTGACGGACACATGTCGGGCCAAGTCCCTCGTGTCGCAACAACCATTCCAACGGATTCCTCGTGCGCCGATTTCTCATTAGTTCAAGTTTTCATCTTCCTCTGAATTTGTGCAATTGTTTCAATGCACCGTATTTGCAAGAGCAAGAGTCTAGCGCGGCCCCTGTCTTTTCATCCCTCAATCCACTTCCCCCAGCGTAGGATGGCAAAGCGGACGCACGCGTGGTTTACGTTCCAGTCTTTTCTTCCTCTTTTTTCTATTAGCGTGCCCGCAATTTTAACGCGTGGGTACGCTAATAGAAAAAAAATGACAGAAATATTTGAAAAAAAATGACAGAAAAATTAGAAAAAAAAATGACAGAAATGGTGTGCGCGTTACAACTTCGCTTTCAGCTGAATTGTAACGCGCACACAAATTTTACGGCTACATTTAGCGAAATAAAAGTGTGCCTTAGAATGGTGCAAATGCGGTACACTACGGAACAACATTTTCTTTTCTATATTTTTCATACACATGTATCTTGTTTCAGTGTTTATTTGATACCACCCCGACTGAACATGCATAATGACCGGACTATTTGTTAAATAAATTACCGGGAATTTCGCCACAAGTGGGACATAAATGCATCAGCACTACCTTTATTACCTTTATTTACCTTTAGTCATCCTGATTGCATATATTATCTAACATTTAGCCAGCGCTCGTATTATGTGAAGAAACATGGTAGATTTTACGCACCAAAGTTCAGACAAACTTGCACACTTTTTTTTTGCTGTTGTACTCGTCATGATGCATCAATAAACCTTCACGCCTAAAGCGTTTTTGCGGGCTTGTTGGTCAATATCAATGAACGGGTAGCATTTCACGCCTACCTCGATGCGTACAGGCGAGAGTACGTAAATTGTAATTATAGTGATATTTAGTTTAAAGGTGACTTTCTTGCTTTGCAGATGCTCACAGACGGCTACGAAAGTTCCAGCGAGGATATCTCCACGCAAGGATCGGTATCGAAGTGAGTAAGCCGGAATAGTCATTGTTTGAGATTTCATGCGCCCCTAATGGTTCCCCTAATGGAAATAAGAAGGCACTCTCACTGCAAACTTTTTTTTTCTTCGTTATCTCTAAATGCAGACTTATCTAGATGCACCCTAACTCTGAGTCGCTCTCCAGCCTGTATTTCTGAATAAAACGTTTAAGAAAGCTGTGAAGGGACCTCCTGAATAACAGCAGCGTCGGGAGGCGCAGCTCGGGCATTCGCAACGCTGCCGCCGTATCGACCGCACCTTGGCTCCGTTCACGTCATGCTTCTATTAGCGAACGCTAACGCATTTATTCCGCCGGGCTTTGAAATACGCCCTTATCTCGACGACTGCTTTCGGTGACAGGCAGTAAAACACGAATGAAGGATCGACTATCGCGCGCACGTGGCCCCGTTATCGTAATTACCATTCGCGTGCGGTGCGGAGCATTCAGAATTTTTTTGTTTTTCCGCACGTGCCTTCTTCTTTCATATCTTATCGCTATTACAATTACTGAACCGTCAGTGTAAAACTAGCTCCGTATTTTTTGTCTTCCAAAATGTATGGCGTGTCCTCCGTGTACGTCTGCCGGGTTTGCTTCCTTTAATCTTTCAATGACGCATCGGAGCAAAACTTTCTAAACGGAACCGAAAGCAGACTCTGAATTCGTAATCATAAGTGCATTTATACCATTTTTTTTTCAGTTCCTCGAAGAGCGTTCTTAGCAGCGCTATCATTAGCCGCATGCAGTGAGTTTCAATGCGCTTTAGTATACGTAATGGTTCCACAGGGCCTTTTGATAGCTGATAGCACGCGAGTCTTGTATAGTTTTTTTTTCCTGCTGGACATGCTCGCGCCATTCATTTACATTTTGCAGCGTCGCGTTCTTGCTTTCCATAAGCTTCGCTGGTCGTTCTTATAAATCTTCGCTTCCTTCATTCGTTTTTTTAATGCTAGTATTTGGACTGAAACTGCGTGGCATGTTCAGTCCCTCTGACGGAGGTTCAAGTACCTGGGGCATTCGAAATAGCTTGGGCCACGTTTTGAGAAATGTAGTGAAGTATAAGAAGGCACATAAAAACTGGGATTAACACTGAATCGTGAATATTGGGTTTGAACCTCTCTGCAAACTACTCACTTCTTTTCAAGAGACACATTCTCGGCAAAAAATTATGAATTATAGTTAATCCTAGTCTTGAACATTTCTGTAAGCAACTGGGCACAAATTCAAAAGGCGACACTCCCCCCGCCCTTTTTTTTTAATGAATGATTGGGGCATCTGATTTGCCATGCACCCAGCATTTAACACAGCACATCAATAATACGTCATGAAACTATTCACTCACGCATAATATACGCTCGTGAAAGTCATGATTTTTTAGGTAAATAACCGGTACATGAAGAGGGAAAACATTTTGTCAACGGAAGCTGCAAAGAATAAAAAACAAGAATAAAGCTCTGATCAGACTAGCAGCACCTTTAATTTGAAGGAACACCAAAGGGAAAAACGATTTTTCTCAGTTTTTGTAAGTAGGCCTGTCTAAATAGAAAAATATTTTTCTCGCAAGAAAACACTCGAAAAAAGGCGTGAAAAGAAAATAACTATAATTGACGGCCTTTATAAATTCTTGTACCAACAATAAAGCTGTTGCCAACCAACCAATTCTAATAGGTGTGGCACAATAATGTTCGCCAGTGTCTACTAGGGCCTACATAGTTCTTGATAGGTAAAAATAATGCACGCATTGCTATTTACAAAACATTTCGTACATCTACAAAACAAAACACTTCGTAGCATCTGGCCTCACGCTACCTTTCAGAGCGTAGTTTTTAGCGTACATTTTTTAAATACAATACTATAACTCTTATTTTCTCTCCTAGTAGCAAACACATGTCGGCGAAAGTATAGCCACCGTACAGTTACCGAGGAATAATTTATCGGTGTCAACTGACGCGTATCACATCAGCGTCCTTTAAAGCCACATGAAGGCGTGTACAGGGCCTCGTTATGCGATATAATATATGAATCCCCTGTAAATATTTGCAACGAAGCGTGTGCATTGTTCTAAGCACCTATAAAGTAGTTCGTATGCTTACGCAAGCCTTTCTTATCAACGACACTATGAAGCATACTTCACTCTCTTGTTCCCCTTTCCCCGTCTGTAACCTCCCTACCTTTCCTATATTCCCTACTCTGTCTCGTTCTTATCTATTCACAAGTCCTCGGTAACACATGGGAGCACGTCGTTCTCTCTTCATGATCACAGCGACCAGAACACGCAGAGGACGCGAAGGCGAAGCTCGATCGTGGTGATCCCGCCGATGCAGATCTGCCCGGGTGACCTGCTCGTCTACAGCAAAGTTCTCACACACAGAAACAACCTCTTAGGTAAGGCGGAAGTATACGACGTCCTACAGCATATGTTATGCAAGAGGGCCCTCTTCTTATACTTTGGCAACATAGCCTGATAGAACTTGTTCTTCCAGTTTTTTTTCTCTTCTCCGTTTATACAATGCGTATTATTCCTAACACCCGGAAATTTCTCCGATGCCATGCTAAGTTACCAAAAATGTCTACACTTAGACATATACGTTAAAGCTTTAAGAAGCAAACTGTGTTCAGGTAAGTACGGTTTCCGCTTATTAGGATTACTCAGAAGGAGCAGCTGACGTCCGAGGACGTTTTGAAATCCAAATTACGTCGGCCCAAGTTGAAAGTGTTGGTTATGCCTGCCGCAAGAAATACCGGCAAACATTGCTAAAAAAAATGCCTCCCCCTCCCCGAAGGGAATTGTGAGGAAAATGCGAATGAATTTGTTGCGCCGAGAGAGGGTATCGTTGCCGTCAGACATTCGCCTTCACCAACTTCTGCCATCGCATTGATAAGCACCCAGCCAGCGAACGGTCGAGAGGGAGGAGCGAATGGACGGGAGAGTGGGGCCCCAGCGTTTTCGGCTTGGCATTTCACAGTGGCGTCTCGAGCACAGATTTCCGGATGTTATCGAGGGGCGCCCAGCCAGCGAACGGTCGAAAGTGAGGCCTGAGCAGACGGGAGAGCGGGGTGAGGGAGGAGAGAGCGAACGTTAAGAGAAGCAGCGGCAAGCACTGCACCTACGCTCTCCTACACTCTCTCGCATGACATGCTCCGGTTGCTGCGCCCTCGTAGCTGTTGCTACGGGAGAGGGAGTTAGGGCGGAGAGATAACACATACCAGCCACGGACAACGCCGGATGCCTGGCATAGCCCGACTAAGAAATGCATTCGAATTTTTTTTATTGTAACTTTCACATCCATGTAACAAAAAACTTCGCAAACACTTGTTTGCCGTGGATGCCAAGATGTTCCTTGTAGTTAATTCCGTGTCTGGGATCGTGGCACTTATGTAATGACGCCATCATCTGCAGCCCTTATTTTTCACATCTGCTTTATTTATATTGTCCCGGGCTCGTGACGTGGACGACGAGAGCAGACCGTAGGTAGAAGATGAAACTGTTCATTCGACCGAACTTGTGGCTAGCAAACTGAAAGTTAGACTACAGCAATACAAACTGACACTGTTAGCGAGGAACACAGCGTCGGCATTGGTCAACTGACAAGTGATGAAGCGCGTTGGTATTTATATATTCCTCTACATGGGCTCCTTCACACATCCGCGTTAAGATTTCCAAAGTATATATGCTTGACGTATACTGTGAATCAACTGTGACGCGTAGCCGCATACGAACGACGGCTCGCGGTATGTGGGGACATGCCACACGTGAGCAGTGCAAAATGATATCATGACGTGCGTGCCAGGGAAGTTCCGTTATTCATGTCATGACATGTCCTACTATGCCAAAATCTGTATGTGCCAAGCCAAGGATACAACCACAAAAATAGATAGAAACGCTCAAAACATCACTGATTCGCTAAAAAATTGCTTCGGATTTCAGAAGCGATGGTGCTGCATATGCGCCTCTTGCGCACCGTGAATGATACAATAGTGTCGTAGTAGCATAGGTTTTTTTTTTTTTTTTTCGTTTTAGGGGCAAAGCTTTTTATAGCGGAACCCGTTCGTCCCTCGTAGTCGTCGTAGTAGTGTGTGACCAGTCTTACATTTTGACCTCCAAGGTGGTGCCGGTGAGAGATTTCTTCTGTGCGTTGTTGAACAATAAAACATTCGCAGCGTGCGCGTTAACTAAAAGCCGAATTCTCCTGTCTCTCATTCCCCCTTAGCAGCTATTGGCAAGTACATTGAGCACTATCTGACAAGAAAGGGTTGCTACGTTATACTCGCTGGGCGTAACCTCCTTGGTTTTAGAAAGGTTTAGCGAGCGTTCGGCCGCAGTGCCACGAATACAATGAACTAGTATATACCATGAACTCGAGGTGGTTAAAGGTGGAAAGTAGACACGAAGCGCAAGCCGTCAGAAAGTATGCGTCGGCCTCCTATCGTTCAGTCCTTGGAATGTCCCCTGTATGGCGGTGCTTCTATATGAGGAATATATGATGAAAAGATGCGAGATGGTGGTACTTGGAGTGTTGAATAGGTGGACGAACGGACACACAGACAAATGCATGGGCGGACTCACGGATGGCTGCACGGACGGATGGATGGACGCAGGAGCGGAAGCATGGACGAACGCAGTGACGGACGCACAGATGGACGTGCGGACGCACGAACAGACGCACGCACGGACGGGCGGATGGACGCACTGGTGGCCACACAGACGCACGCATGGACGGACGGAAGCAAGAACGAACGGACGGACGGATGCTTCGCCCCACTCTCCATCACTCACTCTGTGGATATGCTGCCATTTTTTTTTTTTTTACTTCGAGAAAAGCACCAGATTTTTGTCCCCTGTGTAAAGTATGATGGTAAATGCAACTTACCAGCGCCGAGTCCGTACGGGGTACTTGCAAAGTCTACGGCATTTCTGAATGTTGACCAAAAAAAAAGTCTTGGGTTGTTGTAGCCCGTGCTGGTACACCACTTTTCTTCTAATAAAGGACGCATCATGGCGAAAGATCACGTGCTTTTCCAAGCTTCGCCCACTGCCTTGAATGACCTCTAACAAGGCGCCAGTAGTCAAAATTAACAAGGCGTCACTAGTAATTAAAGGCACAGAGGCGAGTCCCACTCAGCCATCACATAACCCGGCAACTGTTCCGTCTGCGAATCCTTCACACGATGTAGGATCTGACTGATTGTGGTCCGCGCCCCGTATCTCATAACTGCGCCACAAGATGACGTTTAAATCAGAGCTCAGTCACGTGACGAGCAGCAGCGATTTTCGGTGTCGCTTTCGGAGTGCTTTTTTTTTTTTTTTTTCATGTGTCAGATAAAGACGGGGACATGGCTGGATTCCTTCGTCACACTTCGGTCGTCAGAGTACGATTTCTCGGGAAATCATCGAACGAGTGACCTTTTAACAGCTTCTAAATTATAATACACAGTGCCGCATTTTCAAACGTATATCCTGCGAAGCAGTTAGGAGAAGACAACGACGCTTCTCTCAGTGACGAGGCAGAAAGATTCCCCGATAAGCGAGCGAGCCGCCTGCTGGTTGCCATGGCGACTAGACGGCCAGCGCTCTACTTCTGGATAGAATATGGCGTCGTTTTTTGTTTTGGTTTTTTGTTTGTTTTTTCACTGCTTGACGCTACACTGGTCTGTGTGCTTAAGGGCAGCGCGAAGGTTTCTGTGCTGGAAGCGATACCGAAGACATTCTTTGCTGCGTGTGCCGCCCTGTGTACTTTACAGGGACGCGCACATTCAGCTTTAAATCCTGAAAAAAAAAAAAAAACACCTTTCGAGCATAACTTTGCTAGAATTTCGCAAAAAGCTCGCATTTTATTTGCTACTTGTAGACTTAGCACTCTGCACAGTTGGAGTCTGCCGCAGTTTAAAAAAAAAAATGCAACTATCGCGTTTGTTTCCTCGAAAAATAACCACTAATATATTTACGTCTGGACTCGGGGAACCGATCAAAATGAAGCTCTTCCGTGTTTTTTTGTTCTCTTTCTCTTTTTCTGGCAGCGAAACCAAACCATTTTGAGCTTCCATCTTTGAGTTCTGCCAAGTGTTTTTATTTACAGATACAGAATCACTCGATTTTGTAAACAATATAGTTCTGCAAGCGTTTCCACGCAAGCAATGTGCAACAAGTAAAACCAAAACAGATCGTATGACAAGGATAACCTAGCTCCACCTAATGGCTTTCTCTCTGTGTGTGCCTGTTTTCTTTTTTCTTTAAACACTGCAGCAGAGATCGACGGCTCAACCCAGTGCCTTGCAGTTTCAGAAGGTACGAACACTCTTATTTTACATTGTGTTGTGAGAGCACATGAGGAAAAACACTACCCTTTGTTTGCTGCGGATTTCTCGACCATCGGTTTCCGAGAAAGGAACACGAAAGCGCCGTTTCAAAATCTGTTTGCGCCTGTCGCGAGTTCTCATCCGTTTACACTCTTAAAACACCGGGATACTGGCAATTCTATTGTTGTTCCTAATTTAACGTCCTTTCTTGTTGCCGTTGCTTCTCTCCTCACAAGATACCCAAAGATCATCAAGCGTAAGCAACGGATGCATGGAACGAAAATATCAATGCTAACACTTGGAAATAGCGCTCAAAACAGGCTGCTTGATAACATGCGTTGTGTGTGTGTGTGTGCGTGCATGTGTACTCATTAAACGGGTTGTATAGCATAGTATGTTCAGTAAGAATCACACCTATCGCTGTGTGTAAAAGCTTACTTTAATTCTGTACACACAAGATAATCCCCCTTTTTATACGTTCATTGCGTACGGCAATGTTTTTCGTGGCATATCTCCCCAAGCGTATTACGGTTGCGAACTTTCTCACATATATAACTTTTCCTTGATGTGTTTATCTTATATCTCCTTCTATATGTTCCGCAGATTCAACAAGAAAAGCTAAAAATACCTGGTCTCTGTTACGGCTGGTAGGTATCCGGACCTCGTGCGTCATGGCATGATTGTTTCTATTGATCTTGAAATTGTCTTGTGCCGACGTGCCCGTGCTCACATTTTGTCCTAGCTAAGACAATGAATCAGCAAAACCCGCAAAGACTGGCTAGGTTGTCTCCGAATAAAAACGCATAGTTTAGCGGACGAAATTTTCAACGTTTTAAATGTAAATATCGCATGGTAACTGTGCAGTGCGTGGTTTACTCACCTAATGTAGAGCCCTGCTAAATTTTAACAACTTTGGTGCTGTACAAGCTAAGTGGTTTTTGATTGTCTATAAGCCGCGAAAGATAGAACACACAGGCTCAGCAAAAAGTGTACTGTGGTTAAGGTTGAGGAAACGTTGCGACAACGCTGTACCTTTCCATATCGGAGCTAATGTTTTTCAGAAGCAAGGTTTCCGATGTCATTGTGGTGTAATGCTTTGTAATGATGTTCATGCTGTTGACACAATGTCCATGTGTGTCACTCGTTCTTAGATATAGAAAAACAGCTGAATTCACGCATCCTTGCGTTTTTACGCTGTGAAAATTGCTTTGCTTTGCGGTATATTACATGTTTCCAAATTTATTTCGGTTACCATTGCAGTCCACCTACACTCAAGGCACACAACTGTTTGTTTGAGCAGAAAAGAAGTACTACTTCAGCAATGAAATGTTGTCGCCACAAGAAAGCTAAACGTCAAGCACTGCGACGTAGCCTTTTGCATATTCTCGAAAGGTCGCTCAAAATAATTACTTAAAAACTACTGTCAACACTACGAAACATGAAGAATCGCTACAACGCAGTTTGGTATTAGAGCGAGAGTGTCGTTCAAGGTGTTCAACCTGTCCAGCCCTGTGTTATATAAGAATATGAATCGGTGGCACAACTGAAACATGCTCACATTTTCGTTCACAATAGATTCGCTTTCAGTGCCCATAAGCCCCAAACGAGATAGGAACTGCAGCAAGACTGATTGTTGGGCTAGTTATTTGGTGATACATTATGAGCGGTAACAGCGCTTGTTTGTGTCCCTTTTCTTCGTCCCGTGAGTTCGTGCGCTGTTACCGCCCATAGCGAGAGAGAAATGCTGTTTATGATGAGATTATACAACTCACTATACCGCCATCGCAAAGTTCAGCGTAAACATAAGAAAACGCGCCCTTTGAATTTAGCGCCATTGTGCTTTTAGCGTTCAAATAAACTTTAGAAAATACAACGAAACCGGTAGGGCAAACCAATGTTGATCTGTCTGGTCGGAATGTGCGTCTTGAATGCATGCGTGTGATGTGTGTTGCATGTGTGTCTGCTGTTTTTATTGTAACAGCATCGTAACGTCTGGCAAAGACTCCACGGCCTGTCACGTGGGCTCTGTGCCAGAGGCTAGGATGCCTTCGCTCTCCTATATCATCTTTCTTTTAAGCACCTTTCGACATCCTTCGGTAAGCACATGAACACGGTTCCCTCGATATCCACTCATTCCGCGTCTTATTTTCCCAAACCTACCTTGCTCTTTTATCACATTCGTGTACTTACACTTCTACTCACGGGAGCGTTCTAACCATCGACTTCGATATATAAGAAGTACGGGTGTAATGGAAATATTCAGTAGAAACTGTAAGAATTCTTGAATTAATCTCGCTATCTCGTTTGTGCTAATCTCGCTAATCTTGTGAGTTGTAAATGACGCTTAATGCGGGTATCGCATTTCTCTACATTTGATAAACATCTCACACATAGTAAGTCCTCTCAATTTTTGTAGATCTCACGATAGCAGGATGCATGTCTTCCAAACGTTTCATCAACTCCACCTAGTCGAAGTGTAATATTTTTAATTAAACACAGCTAGTTATGCAATATATTAGCGTAATATCATTTTGCATTGTAGCATTACGTGAAGTGTGATAAGACTGGTGATATGGCTGAGCTACGATTTCAAGAAGCTTTACTGCGACTGCAGTGTCGGTCCACTTTCCAACTATGCAACCACATGTCTGCTTCTTCAATAAGAAACAAATAATAAATTGTAATCATTACGAAATTATGAAAATACATTGCCCAAAATAATCGCTGCTTGGCAATGCTGCATGTTCCCTCTCTCAGTCGATTTACCAGGGTTAATTACTAATTTGCATTAAGCGTCATGGCAGTGTTTTCCGTGGGTACAACCCCCTGTCACTCGGCCTGTCATGTACATTTTGCAGATTATCCCATACCTACACAAAGCGCCAAGCTTGTCCTTCCTTTTGTTTAGCCTCTGCGGAAAGGTACTCACCACTACTTCATCAATAATGAGTCCACGCCGACCATCACCACAATCATGTCCTACTTTGTATTATATTCAACGGCTACTTTCGGTTCTTCATATCAGCCGCGCATGACACGGGCCGACCGACCACCGTGCCGGGGCCAGTTGCCACTACTGCCTGCACTGATAACGTCTCCCTTCTCTCCCTTTGAGCGAAGCGCCACTACCGCCCGCTGCTGCTGCTGCCGCCGCAAGCTGCCGTGTGAAGCCTGCTTCCGGCGCCGCTCCTGCTTCTTCTTGATCTTCTAAGCTGCCTGACGTAGTGGCCCTTCGGTGGGCCAAGAGCACACGCATGCACGATCCTGGCCGGTGCCCCCCCCCCTTTCTTCATCTCCCGCTCCCGAACCGCTCCAAAAACCACTCCTGCCCGCTCCCCTCTTTTTAACACCCTTTCATCCCACGGCCTGCCTGCCTTCTCTCTGCATGCCTGGCAGCGCGCGCGAGCGGTGCGTGCTAAGAGCCGCCTCCTGTCCGTCCACATGTGTGTCCAGTTTGACAGGGCCAACAGGGCCAAGACCGAGTGCCTTGGCGGACTCGAAGAGGTCCTCAGCACGCTCAGGCCGTCCGAGTTCTGCGACGAGCAGCTGGCCAAATACAAGGTGATTCCTCTGTCTTCTCTCCTTCATGATGTGAGACCACATTTACTAACGCGCGCCAAACAGCCTACCTTCACCATAAGTAAAATGCGAGGTCAACGTACCAGACGTTACACCAAAGGCCACACGCAGCAAAATTTAACAAACCAAAGAAATTACAGTAGAATCTCACTTATATAATTCTGCATACTGTCGCTATAATGCGTCGCTTTTTTTTTTTTCCCTTCTACTGTAAGTACCAGGTTAGCCCGAAGAGGTCGGCAGAGAATGAGTGAGCGCAGCTTCAACAAATAACATCGCAAGTTTGTCTATAGCTGTCTGTACACGATCTATATAGTTTGTTTATATAGTAAACTTTGTCTATAGTAAAGAATGTACACAAAACAAGCAGAGTCTGCAATATACGAGGGTACCACCATTCTCACAGGGCATGACGTGGGACGCTTTCGTGGCGTCACTGAAGAAGCGCGACGCCGGCAGTGACGATGAGGACGAGGACGAGTCGAGCAGCGGGGGCGCCGGTTCTCCCAAGAGCAGCGCCGCGTCGTCTATGGTGGCAGCCATGGCATCGTTGTCGGCTCCCGACGGTGCAGGCGGCCTGTCGGTGCCCGGCGAAGGGGACCGGGGCAGCCCGACGGCGGGAGACGCGCTGCAGAGCCAGTTCCTCCGTACCATCAACCAGACCATCCAGAAGAACGAGGCGAAAAAGAAGGAGGCGCTGTGGGAACTCTTCCAGAGCGAGTGCAACTTCCTTGAGGACCACCTGATGGTCTTGAAAAACGTACGTGCCTTTTTTTTCTTACGAACGCGTGTAGTGATGGTTTGAGGATGAGAAGGCGCTTATTTCATCAACCAGGTATATAGCAGGGCTCAGAGACACCCGAGAAAGGGAAAGGGTAGTGGAAGGAGTTTGAGAATAGGAGAGGCGGCCATCTTCTCGAGAAAATTAGTACCCACAGCACCAAGTGCCATGCCTATGTAGCTCTTTCCCAGTCAAAAAAAAAAAAACGTGGGGTGCCCAGCGCCACTGATAATCGAACCCAGTACCACGCTTGTCTCCAACAGGGTCCAATGCGCACTGCTTGTTACCAGTTTTGTTAAGTGTAGTCGAGGCTAAAATCTGTGTCAGCCATCCAAAAACCTCTGTCGAATAACCTTGTCAACGAACGCGACAAGTTTCCTAGTCGAAACGTATCTTAGAGGCTAAGACATCTATTATTTGGCGACTTATCATAGCTATCATGCCTTACTGATGATCTCTTGACATTTTCGACGGTAGTCTTTAGCTGTGCGTTAAGTGGCAGACGTGCCGACGAGCAAGAACAACCATTCGGCAACGCGTGACCAGTGAGATAAGACCAAGATCCGGCGTGTGCTGACTCGCCACGGCAGCATTAAGTATAACCGTGCCATCACGAAGTAATCGTGTCACGTTTGGGACCCTGCACACAATAACACAAAGGCTTGGAAAAGAGCAGACTAGGATAAACGGGAACTGCGATGGTGGGTATGGGGAGTGTAGGACATATGGTTAGAGGAGGTAGACAGCAATACACACAAACATGTTATAATACCAACTGGTGCTGATAGTTTGCCCCCCCCCCCCCCGGTAGTCTGCAATGAGGACGCATTGATCAGTGCAGTCAAGAATGCACTGATCAATTATTTCTTGAGCCTGTAATAATTTTTGAACGTGCATTTTCATTCATAGATTGTATTTGAATGTCCCATTTTTATCGTATTTTTAATTAACCCTTCCTCCGGTCCCGCTTTCGCACGTCCTGAGCTTAATGTAAATGAATGAATAAATAATGAAATAAATAACTGAATGCTTGATGTAATGTTAAGTGTGCAAATTGATTGCAGTCATCCCTTCATTTTCAGCAATATCGGAACATATGCATGCTTCATTTACAGGTGTTCATGGAGCCATTGAAGAAAATCCAAGTGGAGGGATACGCAATGTTCGCCTGAACCAGAGGTGCTCTTTGGAAACCTCGATGAACTTTGTTGCGTAAGTTGAGCGGCAGTTTCGTATGCATGCCGAAAATTCGAGCTCCTTCTAGTGTCGTTGATAGTCGGTGCACTAACATACTTCCTCGTGTGGTTTCTTTAGGTGACTTACGCCTTCTGTAGGGAGTTCATCAACTTTATTCTCGCCAGCCACAACTCCGGAGAGTTTAGCACAACAGACGTCCTTATTAGACTTTTTAAGAAGGTAAGATGTCGTTTGTACAAGTACTTTCACCTCACTTATCTGTCGAGATGTTTTCTCGTGCACAACCTGACGCCCGTCCCTTGTTCGCAGAGCACCAAAGCAGCGGCGCTGAGGCAGGCCTACCACAGATACACGCTCAACTACATAAATGCGCTCAACTACTTAGAGACGCTCAGGAGGCAAGTGGAATTCAACGAGTTTGAGAAGGCAGGTATCCTTATAAACGTAGCACGAACTGCATGCATCCAGTGCATAATGTTAGGATGTGGAAAACATGAAGACACAGTAGTCTTGGGTCTGAAAATTGCGAAGCCGCTCTTCTGTGCTTCGTCTCCCCCCCCGCCCCATTTTTTTTTTTTTTTGCATATTACTGTGGCACACTAATCGAAGTGTCTGAAAATGAAGCTCAAATGTACTATGTTCTTAGATTTTGTATAGTGGCTGTCTAGATTTTGGAGGTACGGTCAGTGTATTGATCATTAAGACGCAGCCAGATCCAATTACCAAATGCTACACCTATAATGATTTATTGTGATACCAATTATATGGGCACTCTCGATGAGTTTCTGCCATCAGCGTCGCCGTCATGTTTCATATAAAGTTCAGAGCACGAACATCCGCCCGTATACTTATGTTCTGCCGGTGTCAAAAATGTGTGAGCGGCGGCGACGAACGTGGCTGAAGCAGAGATATAACGAGTCTACCCATCTCCATCGCACGGAGGGGGCATGCGATACCTTAAACCCGTGGGTGAGTGATTCTTGTGAAAAAAAATTACAGTAAATGAAAAAAAAAGTACACCCTCAACGGCTTCTCTCAGGGGAGGACACCTCGCCAGTAGTGCACGAGGGAAGGCATAAGGAGGAATTAAAAAAATAGGTAGAAAAGACGGAGAACGGTTAGAGGGGATGCAATTCATAACGCCCACGTCCTATACATGTTAAATGTTGCCGCATAAACTAATTCATGTCGCAAACTTCGATAAAGTCTCGCCAGTCTATCAACGGCGTTCCTGCAGACTCTCATACCTCCACTCTACACTTAGGCCTGCAATGCCTGAGAGACCTCGAAGTGGTGCATTTCAAATTTTCGTTGCACCTGTAGTGGTGTTCAGGATGATAGACGTACAGTGCAGATAGAAACATTTGTTAAGGAACAAACGATTGTTTAAATAAAACAGAGGCAACAGCGAGGTATTCACGGGGAACTAAGGGGAAACAAAAATAAGCACAATGAAAAGAACAACTAAAACAAGCTAGATGAACTAAAACAGGTCTACAACAGGCACATGTAGAAACAACGTGGAATCTGAATAAAATGATTGTAGACATGCCGGAGACTCAAAAAAGCCCAAAACATTTATAAGAAAAACCTTGCTCCTGCTTCGTAAACCATTGTGTGACGCAGCACACACTAATGCAATGATAATAAAAACTAGCTACGTAAAATAAATCTTCGGCAGATCTAACGTACCATGGGAATTGTTGTCATGCGAAGCATGCTCAGGGAAGGTATCTGTGGTGTATTTTTCGACATCGATTACTACTCTCTTCACTGGTTAAACATCAACTGCCGATATTGATGACTGATATGTGGGATTTAATGTCCCAAAACCACCATATGTTTATGAGAGACGCTGTAGTAGAGGGCTCCGGGAATTTCGACCACCTGGGGTTCTTAACGTGCACCGAAATCTGAGCCCACGGGCCTACAATTGAAAATGTAGCCGCCGCAGCCGTGGTTCGGTCCCACGACCAGCGTATCAGCAGCCGATTACCTTAGCCACTAGACCACCGTGACTGGGCGTCAACTGCCGAAGCAACCTCATTCTTTCGGTACATGCTTACGCACCCCGTTCCTAGATGCACTCCCCCAACACACTGCTTCTGCTGCTTACCTTATCGAAGGTGCCATTCCCTCAAAGTCGGTCGTGGGACATTTCTCTCCCGACAACATGGCGCCCTTCACTCAAATGCGATGTGGAGAGGACTCTCATTCGGTGATCATGAGAGGCCAAAAAATTTGTCTCGGTCTGAGAACCAGAGTGATTGCACGTAGATGTGGCCCCCTGCGAGGCCCCAGCTCATTCACAACAGCATCGCACACTTTTGCACATGCCACACATTAATATCCTTCGCAGAACTAGCTTCGACTCACGCTTTAGTTGTAGTGTGGCTCGTCGCAAATAAAGAAAAATGCTGCCGTACGCCGGCCGTGTTACCGTGTTAACCCACAAGTACGTTCCCCGCAATCGCAGTGGTGCGCCCGGGATCCCCGCTGCAAGAAGCTCCAGCTGACCGACCTGCTGGTCTCGCCGGTGCAGCACATCATGCGCGTCCCTCTCATCCTCAAGGACATCGAGATGCGAACCGAGGACATGGAGGAACGGGACTGCATCACAGCCATCCTCGAGACCGAGGAGAACTCTCTCCGTGAGCTTATAACCCCCGTTATATGAATGTCGCTACGCGTTACGTCAGATTCGGTCTGTGACGTTGATGCTCTGTGCTCTGACAGAGAAGGCACTTAAGAAAGCAAACTATATATATATATATATATATATATATATATATATATATATATATATATATATATATATATATATATATACACATCTTATAGCTAGACAGGCCACTACAAAAAACTTCATGTTCTTTCATGTAGTTGGGTAGAAACTGCGGTATCATGATCATAATTGTGTTAACTGAGTAGTTGGATATGTCATTTTCGTAATGACAACTGATACAGTATAATACAGTATAGTATAAAGCCTCCTCTTTTTCGCAACAAAACAACGTCACAATACAGTTGACATTTGTATTCACAAAGCTGCAGCGCTCTTCAAGACAACTGGAAAATACGACCAGTACCAGTTCGCAAAAACTGCACAAAAATAACGAATGATCAAAGTGTCACCAATCGTGCATAAACACCAACCAGGTAACGTTGCTAGATCAGTTTTGTGTGTGTGTGTGAAGTAAATTAACGTAAGTAAGAGTATAATATTAAGTTTAAAAATTAAAAGGGCCATGACGTCACAGTTGCTGAGCTAGATAGTGTCACCTATCTAGTCATAGCCTCTTACACTTAATGCTCGTACGACTGCTCCCTAAACTGTCCCATATATTGAAGTGATGGGAAGTAACAACCGTACAAAATGTCGTATGGGTGATTATCCTATAAATTAATCTTCGCAGCTTATGAAGTATTTAAGATGTACCTATCGCGTTGCGATAGCGTTATACTCTGCGCAGGACTCGAGCTACGCCGTGTTCCAACAATGGCAGTGCGCTTTCGCCCGAGCTCGGATACAAATGAAATCATAGCATACAGTTATAAGAGCCGTCACTCATTTTACGTTCCTACAGTTTTACAGACTTAACTGAGAAAGTATGTGCAGTGAATCCTCTTACCGGAAATTATATGTCGAGCTCTTGTAAAATTCTTGTTATTCACTCCGTAACGTTGTGCAGTGCCCGTTCATATCGAACTTTTTTTTTTTCATGAAAAGAACAGATGCCAACAAAATCGGTGTGTTGAAATAAATTGTTCTTTTTGTAGGTGAGCTGGACGACAAAATGAAATGGCTCAAGAATTTCGAACGGCTGCTGGAGATCCAGAGAAACATCGTGTGGCCACCGGTGTCCGAGCTAGACTCAAAACTCTACATTCCTGAGGTATTCAGTTAATTGAGTGCTACAGGTTAACTTGAGCAGGTGCCTTCGTGCATGTTTGAGTAGCCCGCACAGGCGAGTGAGTAGACAGTGAGTGAAACGGATAGGTGAGTGCGCGATAAAATGAAGTGTGCGCAATCCAGCCTTGTTCCTCGACGCGACAGCCGCAGTGTAGAGACCACATAGAGACCAACTTGTGCTCTTCATCTCAGCAGGGAGGGCACATACGTGTTGCTTGTTTCCACGATAAAAGAAAAAGAAGGGAAAAATAACCTACCATTAGCATGATTGATCGAGTCTATAAGGACAAGGACGAAATAAACACGCATTCGACACAACACAACGCTAACTTCCAACAGCAGTTGTTGAAATTTAGCGCTGTTGTCCGTTAATTTATTTCAATGTTAATTTAGCGTCCTTATTCTGCGCTACAATCAATTATCATGCTATATCAACAAGCCCAAATCGCCACCCTGATCAACCACCATTTTGATGCAACGTATACATAACTTGAAAGTGAAGTCAATTCACGTCTTCTGTCCGCCATTACTGAGCACATGGAGCACATGTCGTGTGTGTGTGTGTGTGTATGTGTGCGTGCATGCGTGCGTGTGTGTGTGTGTGTGTGTGTTTGTGTGTGTGTGTGTTGCCGCTCCCATGTAGCGCGAACGTCAGCTATGTCCCGAAAATTGGGCCAACTGCATGGGCGTGTGTATCGAGGCACCCTAGCGTTGGCTAGAGTTACTCTATATGCTACCTAAAGGTATACCATATACAGTAACTCTAGCGTTGGATATAGCGTTGAGCGCGATCTCAAAAGGTGGTCGCCTTCCGTGGGGCGTTGTCTCTTACGCTCGCGTGCTTGTCAGACTCGTAATTCAGGAGAGGACGAAGGTCACTTGCAAGGCTGCGGTGGCCGTGTGTTACAAAAGAAGCACGCTGCTCACACAACGCGCAAGAAGAATTGTAACAGGTGTTTGCGCTTGTCACTTGTGCGCTCGTTTCCATGATGCGTCTGTCTATTTGAACAGCGCACTTTAAGTGTCGAGTAGCGGCAGTTGTTAGTCTGCGCTCGTGCTGTGTATGCCAACTTCATGCGTGTTTTCTGCTTGAGGTGTGCACTGCAAGTTTTGAGCTGCTTGCCATTCTTAATGTGACTTTGCAATTTATTGCTGCTGTTTCTGAAACAGTGTACAATAAACGCTCAACCACCTCTGTGAAGAGACATTTCACTTTCCTGTTACACCAGTTTCTATGTAGGGAGATCAGCCGAGTTTTTTTTTTTTTTATCTCATTTACACTTACTTCTCGTACGGCAGTCAAATATCGCACAAACGCCATTGCGACGTATGCACATTGACGGGAAATGCGAGAGCCGCATAGCTTGACTCGATGTTGTCTGCTGCCATGCGCTTGGTAATGACGGCGCATATGTTGCCATCAAAGTTTTACGGTGTGACGTACTTGCAAGTTATGTATCAGAAATTCTACTGCGCTATCAGAAACAACTGTCCGACAGAATGCTCTGTGCAAGAATACCTATTAATTGGCCGTTAGTCTGCACATATTCATACAAGCGGGAAGCTGAGTGCTAGAAAATTAGCGATGTGCGGAGAGACTCATCCAATGACCAAAGGCGTGCAAACTGCCGTTTGTATTGATTTCGCGAGACGTGCTTAATCACGAGGCATGCCCACGAGGCATGTTTAACTATATTTAACGGTAATTCGGCATATCGACTCGGTCTAAAGCTCACATCCGAAAATAAATTGCTTCTATCTCTTAACCAGCCAACGGACACTCTGTTGAACTTTCTCATTTCAGTTCCTGAAAGTACCACTTTCAAAGCAACCATGTGAAAGGCTTATCGTCAGTCCTCGACGGCAAATAATACTGGAGGGGCCACTGCAGATGCTTGGTAAGTCCCACAGAATACGTATTCCTGGGCGTATTGTACATGCGTAATACATGAAGTTCCTTCTTCTGTTATACGTTAGCCTTATAGTACGATAAAAGTAGTAAAGCCTGTGGTCGCGTAAGCCAGAGAACGGTATGGGTACAACAGCAGTGGTGCTTAAGTGAAATAGTGACCGAAAATAGTTGACGGTTTGATCGGGTACCGGGAAGTAACGAGACATACTGTTAGTGTTATAATCGTACCTATATGTATGACTGGAAGTCGCGTGACAGAAGTGGGAAGTGGCATCATGGAGGAAGATGAAGTTAGAAGCGACGTAACGGAAGTCTCAAAATTAAAATGGATACAAAGGTAAACAATTGAGATTTACTGCTCATGCATTTCCCTCGCATTTACCGCTAAATCGCCGTTGACATTTGTTCTTTTTCAGACACCTCTAAAAGCGGCTTTGAAGTTTACGTGGTCCTTTTTGATGATATGATCCTCATTACGAGGAAGAAGAAAGGACTTAGCAAAAAGGTAAATGAAATAAATTTATATAATGGATATGATGCCCACGCAAAAGGAATGAGAGACAGGTTGGCTGACATATCCAATACTTTATTTTGGGCATGTATCAATTCTTGTAACCTGTTTCTGTGTCTCACTGTGGTACCCTAATAGTGAGTGTTGATATTTTATAGCTAGGTGTGTCATTTAAATATATGCTTTCCTTCTCTCTCACACTTGATTTTTTTCTTCATAATTAGTGCTAATCAGTAGATAGAATCAGTAGAATCAGTTCTGTACATTACGACACTCAGCATTATCTGCATGTTATGAACATGTCATTGTGCTTTAAATGTAACCAAACGATGTCTTTTTCAGATTACCTTACATAACTTGTCATATTATGGTTCAGTTATTGTTATGTTGTCTTTAAATTGGGAGATTGTTCACTCAGTTATCGTCTCTATATGACTGTCATCTTGTGCCATTGCTGTTTCTGCAATCGACATAGAAGCAAAGGGAGCGTTGGGGAACCACGCTTACAGTTTACTGCGTGGTATTCCAGAAATCCTCGCTAAACCTTGACACGAAACCCAGCCAAGACAAAAAGAACAACACAATACAGGACGGTGTCAAGTACATAGTCTACAAGCAGCCACTGTCCCTGGACCGCATCTGCATCCATGACGTCAGCGCACAGGAGGGTGCAGGTTGGTGGATACCACCTCATTCCCTGCGATACCAATTGCAAGGACATTCCGGTTGAACTTTCGCCGTCGCCGTGGTGTCCCGTATAATGTACAATATGGGTGCGGTGGGAAGCGAGCGAGGAAGAGCCAGAAAGAATAACGGCTTGAATAGTGAACCAATACGTTTGGTTTAATATATATACGCTGTCTTTCTGACCTGGTGTAGAGGGTGACAAATAAATAAAGTTCGTGCTTCCTCCTCTAGTAAGCCCTGCTGGTAATGGTGGGGCCGTTTCTTCGCGCAGCTACTATTTTAAAAAGTGAAAAGGTTGAGCGAGCCTACATTTTCTGGTCGTATCGTGTGTGCTGTCTCCCCGCTCCTAATGTAAAATGCCGTCCTTCCTCAAAGAAGCGATAGGCGACGAGATGCCTTCGCTCAAGTTTCCTCCGCCCATCACGCCAGCGCATGTCAAAGCCAACAGTTCGCACTGATCGAGTGAGACTTGTTCATGTTCGCCTGTGTGAGCAGGACATACTCTTTATAAATATCGAATATTTACTTGAATATACAGGACCGATAAAATTACGAACCTTCATCGCTATGAATACCTAATTCATTTCTATTGGTATGCATATCGTAGCTTTCAGGCAGAATTGTGAATTCTTTTGCAGTAAACAAGTGCTTTGAAATGTCTTGCTCTTAATACAATGCATATGCCCTGATTTCCTGACAAGTAAACTTTAATTCGATGCCAGTTTCAAACAAATTTCTTTGAGTTCTCCCGAAATCAAAAGCTGTCAGAGGCCCGGCTTTTAATGTCTTTCAATTAAGGAAATGAGTGAACATTGTTGTTGTGTCCCACTAGGACCACTTTAGTAGGAGCTTACAATACTTACGAGCTCAACATTGAAACACAGGCATATGCTATATTGAACTTTATGTTATACTATGAATAGCTTTCCTTCTTTTTTTTTTTGCAAAATCCGAACCTTGTTTGCATCTGCACCAGGGAGTACACTAGATGATTACTAGCTGTAAATGGTAGCAGTTACCAGCAAGGAGTACTTAGTTAAGAACTTATTTTACCATTACAGAAAGCATTCACAAATAGAACCATTAAGAATAAATGTACGAAGTAATTAAATGTAGCACTCGGTAGTTCATTTTGCGAAGTCTCAACCACTGCATGCATTGTGATTCATTTTTTCTAATGTGACCACGTTTGAGCACCTACTTGCACAATCAAAAAAATGTTAAATGACTAGTCGACATGCCGCTAACTTGATTGAGCCTTTGTAGCTCTTCTAGATCTTCTGCTGATTCTACTTTCAGCACATAACCTCAAGAATGTCTTCGTATTCGTCTGCCTAAATCGTTTTCAACAAATCATCACAGTGCATACACTGCAAGCCTCAAACGAAAGCACAAAGGTAAGAGAACAAAGGTGTGAATACTTGACTGTATAAGCGTCTCAGGATACATGTGTGGTCAAACAACCCTTTCTAGAACTGTTGTCTGCCTTGCGTTTTAAATGCGTAAGCTTTGTATGTCCACTCAGCAAGAAAAAAATTACAGCATATCCATGGACTGAATGATGATGAGTGGGGCGAAGCGTTCGTCTCTCCAACCGTGGGTTGATCTATCCGACCATGCGTCTGTGGGTCCCACGACCGTGGGTCGTGCGTCCTCGATGTATGTAGTGGGTAGCCACATCTCGTTTAGTTCTTGGAATGCCCGCTGGATGGCAGTACTTGTATATAATCAATATATGATGGAAAAAAATGCGAGATGGTGGTACTTAGAGCGTTCACTAGACGGACGGACGTACAGACCGTACGCGCGGATGGACGGACGGACTGACGGACGCACAAACGGACGTGTCGCCCGACTCATCATTCAATCTGTGGGCATGCTGTAATTTTTTTTCTCTCTAAACGCATGCACTCAGTGTGGCGTTCTGATTCTTGAAACTGGGGCAGCTTCTAGATCTCCCATAGAGTACATCGTGCTCTAAATCGTCGGAGATTTGTTCTAAACGCACGCGGCATGACTGATTACTCTACGCAACAAGCACCACAACACGGGCCAAATGTTCTCGTATTCGTTAGATATCACCACGCGGCACAACTCCTGGTGCGGGAAGACGCTTGTAAAACAAGAAAACGCACACACACAAAAATTCACAGGCGATTATGATTGCTGCCTAATGCGAATTTTAGGGGCGAAGCTCCTTACACCGTGGGCTGTTCATCCCATGTTTGTAGTAGTAGCCACCTCTCGTTTAGTCCTTAGAATGCCTGCTGGATGGCGGTACTTGTATATGATGAATATATAATGAATATATAATGAAAAGATGCGCGATGGCGGTACTTGGAGAGTTCACTAGATGGACGAATGTACTGACAGACAGACGGACGGTCGCACGGGTGGATGCACGGACAGACTGATGGATGTTTTGCCCCACCCATCATCATTCACTCCATGAATATGTGCGCGATCTTTAAATGCGAATGCATTTCTTAGTCGGGCTATGTCAGGCGTCCGTCGGGATCCATCCACCGCCCTCTCCCATAGCAACAGCTACGGGTGCACGCGCTTATCTAAAGTTACTACATATATTGTGGGCATTTGTTACTTGCATCGTCCTCATCTTTGCATGATCACAATCACCATCATCCGCTTGTCTCTTTGTCCTCATTGCCACTCTGGGTCATCATCATCGTCATAGTCGGTGCACTGGCTCTGCCTGTTCGTTTTGCGAAGTCTTTCCTCAATTAAACGCTGTCGCAACCAAGACTACCAAGACTTCATACGTGGTGGAGGTGGATTTTCGGTCCTCTTACCTCCCGCAGCCCGCTCTACCCGCTGGAGCTTCGTTCAGGCCGCCGATTGCGCCCACTGTCAGGCAGCATGTCCCAGACCGAGTCTACCGGCGCTCATGTCATCAACCACGCACCGACGCAAGCTGCCCCTCCTATTTACATACACGGACATCAGCGGGAACCCCCGCTCTTCGCTGGTCGTCGTGGAGAAGACGTAGAAGACTGGCTCGACGACTACGACCGCGTAAGTGTCGCTAATCGGTGGGACGAGGCCGCCAAACTGCGTTACGTCCCATTTTATCTGACCGGAGTCGCAAAGACATGGTATTTTAACCACGTCATTGACTTACCCGACTGGGCTACCTTCCAGCAGCAGCTGCGACACGTTTTTGGGACCCCGGACATTCGATCCGCCGTCGCGAAGAGGACACTTGATACTCGCCGACAACATCCCGGTGAATCGTACACTTCATACATCGAGAATGTCCTCGCACTGTGCCGGCGTGTCAATCAATCCATGCCGGAATCAGACAAAGTGCGCCACATATTGAAAGGCATTGGGCCTGTTGCCTTTAATGCACTTGCTGTGCAAAACCCAGCTACCATCGCTGATGTCGTGACGACATGCCAACGCCTTGATGCGCTGGACTCCGTTCGCCTCCAACCAGACATTGGCGACCACCACTCCACGTCAGATGGCCACCTGCGCGACCTCATCCGGGACATTATACGCAAAGAATTGCGGTCCATTGGCTTCACACCTCCTACACCACGACCTACACAGCCTTCGGGAATGCCCTTACGTGACATCATCAGGGAGGAACTTACAACGCTGACCGGCGTTGCGCCCGTACAGCCACATGCTTCACGCCCCATACCCACGTACCCTGAAGTTGCTGCCGTGCCTCCCAGCGACGCCCACGCGACATTGCCGCGTCCATCCTACGCGTCAGTTGCTTCGAACGTCCCCTTTCTGTGGTCTCAAGAATGTCAAACGGCATTCGAGCTGTTGAAGCGGTCACTCACGTCTGAACCTCTGCTCTGCCACTTTGACGAAGCCGCACCAACTATCCTTCATACCGACGCTAGCGGCCTTGGCATAGGAGCTGTTCTTCTACAACGCGACAAGTCTTCCCTAGAGAAAGTTGTTGCATATGCCAGTCGCGTACTCACCCCTGCTGAAAAGAACTACACTATAACTGAGCAAGAGTGTTTGGCTGTGGTTTGGTCGGTCCAGAAGTTCCGTCCCTATCTCCACGGCCGTCACTTCACAATCGTTACGGACCACCATGCCTTATGCTGGCTTTCTACACTGAAAAACTTGTCCGGACGCTTGGGTCGGTGGATACTACGCTTGCAGGAGTACGACTTTGACATAACTTACAAGTCAGGCAGAAAACATCGAGACGCCGATGCTTTATCTCGTTGCCCACTTCTAACTACCCATATCAGCGTTGGTGAGAACTCAACCACCACATCTACCAAAGCTCATACGCTCGCATCAATAACGCAACCCTTTTCGGACGACCAGGCAACATTTATCTCCCATCAGCGGTCCGATTCATACTGCAGACGCATGATGGACCACCTTTCGGGAGTTTCTCATCCACCAAACGCGCGACTCCGTCGTCAACTCCTGCACTTTAAGCTGGACAATGGGGTTCTCTACCGCCACGTCTACCACCCTGACGGTCAGCGCTGGGTTCCTGTGCTGCCACGCTCTCTTCGACTTCAGGTGCTCGAAGCCTTCCACGACGACTTGACTGCTGGTCATCTTGGTTTTTAAAAAACTCTTGACCGCATTCGATGTCGTTATTACTGGCCTGGCCTTTCTTCTAGTGTAGCGCGGTACGTCGGTTCCTGCTACCCATGCCAGCGTCGTGAACTCCCCACGTCTGCATCTGCTGGACCTCTACAGCCACTTCCGTGCCCGTCAATGCCTTTCGAGGTTGTAGGTGCTCACCTTTACGGGCCCCTCCCCGTCACATCTGCTGGCAAACGATGGATAGTGACCGCCGTGGACCACCTGACACGATACGCTGAGACTTCCTCTGTTATTACAGGCTCAGCTGTGGAAGTTGCAGACTTTATTCTTCACGCCATAATCCTGCGTCATGGGGCTCCTCGTGTACTGCTTAGTGATCGTGGCAAAGTGTTCCTGTCACAAATGGTAAATGAAGTACTCTGCGCTTCTGGAACTACTCACAAGACAGCTTCAAGCTACCACCCTCAGACAAATGGTCTCACAGAAAGATTTCACCGAACCCTTGCAGACATGATAGCCGTTCAAGTCCAACCCGACCACAAAAACTGGGATACTCTTTTACCATTCCTGACATTCGCTTACAACACCGCCGTTCAGCGAACAACTTGCTACTCACCGTTTTATCTCGTGTACGGACGCACCCCGACTACCTTTCTCGACGTCTCCTTCTTTAGCAGCCGTGGGAATTCATGTCAGTCTTCTAGCGAAGAATACATTTCCCGCCTGGCTTAGTCTCGCCATCAGGCTCGCATCAATACTGAAGCGAGACAGCACGAGCGGAAGATCACCTATGACGAATCCCACCGCGTTGTGTCTTTCCAACCTGGTGACGAGGTGCTGCTTTTGACACCTATTCGCACTCCTGGTCTCTGTGACAAATTCCAACCACGCTTCATCGGGCCATACATTGTTTTAGAACAGACTTCGCCGGTTAATTATCGTGTGACACCACTCGTCGCCCCAACAAACCGCCGCTACCGCAGCACAGAGATTGTCCACGTTTGTCGCATGAAACCTTTCACGCGACGTTCCCCGTCACTTTGACTTACGGCGGCCAGGGTGTCCGCTTCCAAGTGGGGGGAATTAGTGTGGGCATTTGTTACTTGCATCGTCCTCATCTTTGCATGATCACAATCACCATCATCCGCTTGTCTCTTTGTACTCATTGCCACTCTGGGTCATCATCATCGTCATCGTCGGTGCACTGGCTCTGCCCGTTCGTTTTGCGAAGTCTTTCCTCAATTAAACGCTGTCGCAACCAAGACTACCAAGACTTCATAATATATATATATATTCTAGTAATGTTGCGCTTATCCTCGCTTCTAGCAACCGGAGCCCCCACTTCCTTGACTTGAACGGGACTTGCCACCGCCTGAATGCGGTGCATTTGAAACGTTTTTGTAGCACCTGTAGTGCCAGCGTTTGTGTAGCATTTGTGTTTATACAATGCTGACATTATGGCCGTCAGGTAGAATGTCAGGTGCAGTGCTTCACCGCTCCTTCTCTCGCCATTCGCTCTCTCTCCTCCCTGACGACATGCGAACAAAGAACTCTATGGATTGTGCGTCCACCGAGTGTGACAAGTGTCCGACTATTATTCACGGAAGTGGCTTTGACCTCGCCTTTACCCGAAACAGTGACGTGCACTTGCTTCTCCAAGACTCATTGACTGTACACTTTAGCGACCACAAGGCTGAGATTATGGCCGCCAGATATATTAGACAGTTATAGTATACCGGGCTTACCGGTATACCGGGCGTGCCATAATAGCGGGATCGAAGTGCGCACGCGTAGATACGCGCGTTACCCGTACCGCTTACCGTACCCGCGCTTTTTTTCAGATATAACGTTACCGTGTTATCGTAGGTGTATATAGTGTGCGTAAAACATGGCGATGCTCTCGGACGCCCGCTTCGAAGCGATTTCGGGGCAGTTGTTGAAAGATTGACTTTGTTCGCAGCAAATAACTGGTTAAAGTGGCTTTGCTTGCCTTCAGTTAGCTTGTATGATTGAGTATTATGGATAAGTTGGCGTAGTTTTTTAGATAGCTTCCCAATTCCTACGTGACCAGGCCTAACAACAAGATCAATGTAAACAAATCGGCAAACATAAATGACCTCCTTGAAATGGTCGTTTTTCGCTCTCTATGCCATGGCGAAAAAAAATTAGGAGGGGGGCACGTGCCCTGTGTACTACCACCTGGCTGCGCCCCTGTGTACGTTTAATGCAGAAACATCTCTCTGCTTTTCCTTAACAGAGCGCATAGTACTCTGAATATTTTACCTTTCTTTAATAGCCTAAAAGGGACACAAAAAAGACAAAAAATACTTCGTATTAGAAATTTACTTTTACACAATACCAATACATTTGGCGCGGCAAGACACTTGATTAGCGAGAAAACGCGCAACGAGAAAATGCGTGTAGTGACGTTCCCTTGAAATACGTGCACCACTCACCGTGCGCCATAGGTTTTAACCGCGTTCACCAGATCGCACGTTATTCATACTTGGTAAAAATAGAGTTGATCGTCATCAGAAGGGTCTAGACTCAACATACCCCGTTTCTGGAAATTTCGCCGACACCGCCGAAATACAAAAAGTGAGCTTGAAATCCGGGACTCAACGCATGTAAACTTCGGCAACGAATTTGAAAACGAGGCTTAATTTGGCCTCAATTTCTCTCTGCTCTAATAATCCTATGATCATGACATTGTACCCATTGAAATTCTCATGGTGCAGTCTATCAATCAAAACTGGTTCTTTGTTTCGCTTTCGTATTCCTTTAAGTGTTTTTTTTTTTCTTACTCCTTTCCAATTCTGGTGCTACATGGTTCACCCTTCCAAGCATATGCTGCAACCAGGTTTCTAGGTTTCCTGCCTTCTCCAACTTCGCGCGCATGCATAGCCGTGCGTGGGGTTCTCCGTGAAAGGAAAAAAAAAAAGTTTTCATCGCAACGCTCCTTCTGCTCACCCCACCTTCCGTTTGTCAAGTTGAAAACACAAGGTGCTCGGCAATGTACGACAGGAAAAAAATGGGGAAGAATCGATCACGTACATCTCACAATGACCCTTGAGTAAAGATCGCAAGAAAACAGTTCCTAACTGGAATGCAACATTGAGATCCTCGGTAGCCATTATCTTCAAAATGTTGCTTGCCGTAGTCGTAGCTCACAATGACCAGGCTGGTCCGACTGAATATAATTAATGCGTAAGCTTTGTGCTTTCGATAAGGTAACTAGGGGGTGGGGGAGGCACCCTCGCTACACCCGCCGCCCTCCACCAAACGCGCGCCTATGCACACGTTTCCCTTTCACTTTTCCGAACACGAATCGACCTTGTCGTCGACGTTCCGAACGCAAGCTGTTTCCCTTTCACTTTTCCGAACACGAATCGACCTTGTCGTCGACGTTCCGAACGCGAGCTGTTAGAAGTGTGGCAGCTTGGGCTAGTTGGTATGGCATGACGATAGTTTTAGCGCGAGAACAAACGACGACACAGAGAAAAGAAGGACACGAAAAGCACGAGCGCTCGTGTCCTTCGTCTCCTTCTTGTCTCTGTGTCGTCGTTTTGTTCTCGCGCTATAACTATCGTTAGGCGAGCTGTTAAGTTTGTGTGCGAGGGTGAGCATGCGAGGGTGAGCACAGTGACAGCAGGGAAGAAGTGGGGTGAACGCGTGTTTGGAAGGGATAAGTGCTTCGGAGAGCGCGTAGTATTGGGGAAGGTAGCACGGCTGTGTTATATCTTGCGTCTGATCTGTGGCGGGTCTGAAAAGCACAACAGCGCGAGAGATGGCAGTGGGTTTTGAAAGCACTACCACCACTTGCTGCAAGTCTGTCGATGGGCTGCAAAGGATTACTGAAACATATCAGGAAAAGCTGTGCGTCTACCTATGTCACTCTCGAAGCGAGGTTCGCTTTTCGAGAACGTGCGAACTCAACCCACAGTCGGAAACTAGGACAGCAGCTGTATCAACATGCATTCCCCGTCCCTGGCCCCTTCCCTCTTTCTTTCTCTCCGGTGCGACTATATCGGTTTTAACAATAATCATGAGCTCGGCTATATAACTTAAGGTGTACTCGTGTGCGACTTCAAGATATGCCCTCAACTCATGATCTGATAGCTGCTGGTTGCAGCGATCAAGTTAAGAAGCTGAAAGAGTCAGTGAACACTGCAGTTCAGAGCTTCTCTCCCCCCTTTTACATTGCATGATCAGTGCCCCATCTTGTTTCTACCGGTCATTTACACGAGTCACTTTCTGCACTTTCAGCTCACCTGGTTGACAAAGCTCCGAGACACCGTAGACAGATGGAAAAGGACGCTGCAAAACACAGTGTTCCGGAACCAGAGGATACAAGCCAACAGTAGCGCACAGCCACCCCCAAAGTAGGCCCTGGGCTCCCTCACGCTGCCCTAAGAGTGGGGTCTCAGAACCATGTGTACATACACGAAAGGCACAAAGGTGTGGCTTGTGCTGCTTGCACCAGCAGACGTTAAATGCACGAACTCCGCAACCTGCACAACACGTCCCCAACGATGTCGGGCTTGTGAGCAGTGGGCCTCAGCAAAGTGTCTTGAGAACGTTCACGGCGCTGTTCTCCCACTAGAGCTAGCAATCCACATGGCGTGGTTGTAACTGCTGCAACTCCTGCTGCTTGAAGACGCTGACAGGGGACGCACAGTATAGTGTTTCTTACACAGCTCCTCTTGAGACCATAGTCTAGCATGGTGTTCCCTCTACATTTGTATCCAATGCAGCTTGCTCTCATCTGCATAGTTCACTGTTGGAGATACCTACTATGTTGCACATGCCACCCATCAAGCACTTGGTATCATTTATTTTTCTAGCACATGTATATATGTGTATGTAAGCATGTATAGTCCTCACACGATGTGCATGACAGAGCAGCCTTCGTTTCCTGCTTTGTTCATTATGGCGAGTGAAAACTTCCTTGAGAAAGATCAGCGTGAGTGAAGCGAGGGAAGTGAATCCTATACCAGTGAAGGTGCGCTATTTCCGCATGGTGTCCTTGGTCATTTCCACTAAGATTGTTCCGACCCACACCCGTATCCCAAGAATACCTGAAGCAGAATGATGGAGCACAGAAAAGTTGAAACGTAAGCATAGTGACAGTGACAAGGCAATTCACAATACGCAACACAACTTACTGTAAAATAGATAAGATCATTCGAGAACTGCTACGCTCGGATGAAATTATGTGTGGTATTTGAGCTTGTCCATGCATAACAGGCAAGCTCAACATGTGTCTGGTAGCAAGAACTTGTTATGCAAATCTGGCCTCAGACATAAAGTTTTGTATAAAAGAACATATAACAGTGTCCACTTAATAAGGTTGAGTAAATGTCACACCAAATCAAGTTGACCAAAAAACAAACAACAAGGTACTAGTTTTTATCGTTCGTGATGTTGAATATAATTGCACGTAGAATTGGACCCTTGCACATAAATAGAAACTAGCACATTGTTGTCATAGCACACATTTCAAGCTCACTTTATACGAAAGTCGCTGCTCAAGCTTTGAGGTCAGCTCTTTAATCATGCATCTTTAAATGATGCAGTGGTCTTGCAAAGGCGTGACTAATGGCAGCTCTACTTCCAAATCTATCCATACACCACATGTGCAGAAACACAATCACGAAAATCATTTGCCAAGATGAAAAGCACCAAGCAAAATAGCTTACCAGCTTAAAAAGCACCACTATAGCATTTATTCATTATCTTTTCAATTTTCCATTCAGTGCCTTGGCAATCGAACTATCCGTTATCCTTCTTTAGACCACTATACAAGCTATGCATATGTGGTTTGCAGGGTTAATTTCTCATAATTGGCAGGCATGCACGAAAAGTCCCACTTTTTACATTTACAAAGAAGATCTTCAAACAATTAAACATCAACCCATGCTCACTTATATTTTTCTTAAAATTATGCTTTTGATTTTCTTGAGTAAACTCGAGCCCTCAACGAAGATTCGTGGAAAAAATTTCCAACAAACGATCTTCGCATATTGCCGCAAAGCTGGCTTCTTTGCGTAGCCGTAAAACACTGCCATGGAGCCACCTTTGCACACCGAAATCTGCGATTTTCGTTTAGCTCCAAGTCCTCTGTAATTTTTATGTATTTTTAATGCAGGTAACACGCAAGAAAATTGTCTCTCGGTGCCACCTGATTGCGGTATAATATTGAATCTAGAACAAGCCACCTTTTTTATACCTCTCTGTCATGAATGTGCACTGAGAAAACAAAAGCTGAGAACAAATTCGATTCTTCATTTGCTAAATCGGCTCATGCAGGCGAAAAGTGAGGCAATGCCATTAAAAAAAAACAGTATTGCATGCAATAAGAGCAGTGGCTGTCATAAAATAGCCCGGAAGCGTGGCTAAAGCTTTCCATTTTATAACCCATAAAAATACTTTCTCTACAAGCACAAAGTTACAAGAACTGGCTGAAATCAACAGGCATGCTAAAGAAAAACATTTTTTCTATATTTGGAACGCATAGCCTTCTCCCCTTGCCTATAGAATAAAAACATCTGGAACTGCGGAAACTGATTCCCGAGTCCACTACTTTAACTTCCTCAACCTAAAGTGTAATGCTGATTGCTTTTGCAAGGGACGCTCAGCAGTAACACGAACAATAAAATTTGTGCCCTGCCCGCAGCTTCAAATCCTAATGAATGCACATTTATAAAAAAAGTATACAGTTCAGATTAATTATAAGTGAAATAAGCCACCATTGTCTAGAACACAAAAGCCCTTAATCTATGCTTGAAATTATTACAACTGCACAATGCTAAGATCATTTCGCATGCTGCAAATAGTGCTACTCAAGTCAGCATGAGTAACATGCTTCTATATAGCTGCTAGGGCATGTAGAGGTCTCCTTGAGCATTTCTGGAAACAACTTCATTTTTGCCAAACTAGTCAGGCAAGCAGAGAAAATCCAAATGTTCTATCATTTATGAACCTTAAAGTGCAATTGTGCTGCAAAATTTCAGTCAGAACAAGTTAGTGGTAAGCCAAAAATTTTTTACTTATCAGAGTGAAAGTGCCAGTGACTATTGGCATGACGTTCTCTATTCGCAACAGTTTGGCAAATAAAAACGTCTTACCAGTCTGCCATTTTCACCGAATTGGCCACTTTTCTAACTACTTTCTAACTACAGGCTTGAATGAAAGTCGCCACGGATGAATACACTTAAGTTTCTACAGTCACTTTGCTCTAAAGCTGGAGCAAGATGTGGAAGCGGGCTAGTTGGTATTCCATGACTTAAACAGCTGAAGTGCAAAAAGGTAACAACAGCCTAAGGTCCTCATTGTTTTCTTAGTCCGTGTTACCTTCTTGTGCTTCATCTGTTTAAGTCTAAAGTTGGTTTTGTTTTAAGGATTTCAATACCCAGAGTGGTGAAGTGAGAAGACGAGGAAATGGCCTGACAACAACCAGGCTATCAGACACATACACCACCGTAAATGCTGGAGAAACCTATGTTATTATATTATGTATTAATGCAACAAAACAGTGCCTGTAAATATGTAAATGAAGTATGAAGAGAACTGATTTAACACAGACACAAAGAATGCAAATGTCAAAGAGTATTTGTATTTCATAAGAGCATGCAATCAGTTTTTTTTTTTTTTTTCACAATAACAAGATGCTTGTTTTGCTAGAGCTCTACACCCACCCTAATAATGCTGCTACCCCAAGCCTGATCTTCCAATTTAACTCTCCTAATCTGAACCCTATTGCTCGAGTGCCGCATGACACTATATCAGCCCATTGCATTTACATGAAATTTGTCGGGCAGGACAACTATGAAGAGGTACGCACAGAGGCTGCACCTGCAGTCACAGGCAACTGAGAAATAGAGTTTGTAAAAGCTGATTGTTGTCTGTACAGTTTGTTCCGCGTATGAACACAAACACTGTGCACCAGCCTGATGTATCAAGTTGTTTCATTATGGAACTACCCCCTTTGTTATATATATATATGTGCATAAGTGGTTTGTGATGCCAAAGCCAGCTCCTGAGTACAGTTGTTTCCGGTAGTGGTTTGTAGGACACAACGGCAGTTTGTAACTTAAACACTTCTTTTTTTTGCCTCGACAGGGCAAAAAAAACTAAGACACCTGGCTTAGTACACAAAATAACCCGCTGAGAAATGTGATACGACGATTTCTCGTCGAGAGAGAAATCCTGCTGGTTATTTAACACATGAGGAAATCAAGTATACTTAGCAGCACAACCGTAGAATTTCATGTGTACATAATGCTGTAGCCACATAGATTTTGGATGTACATACATACAGTTACCGAGTGTGCATTTTGCAAACAAAGCGGCAGCCAGTGCACCTCCCCCCTGCATTTTAAGCCACGCATATTGGGGTGCAAATGTAAATTTTTGTGTAGAACTTTTACTTGGTTTGTGCATATATACAAAAAAAAGATGGTCTAGTTTTACTTTTTCACTTTTTATTTGCATCCTTATACTAAACAACTTGTCTAGGAGGCTCTGCAACTGATTATGCTGTGAAGTCAAGTAAATCCAAATGCGTCCAAAGAGGAGACTGCAACGAAGGTCGCATGAAGCTATAGTACGTTTTCTTGTTGATGTTCCTTCTTTGTCACAACATAAAAGAAGTGCTGAGAGTCTAACATTCTTTAACAAATTTCCACTCAAAAGTGCTTTTGAAGACTGTTTGACGTCATTACCGAGTGCACGATGCCCTGAATCATGAAAAGTAAGGTACTTTTAAAGCACTGGAGTTCCGAACCAAGTGCATATCACAACTGATCAGTACATTTTATTAATAGCAGTACAACAGGACAGTACCAATTCTCTGCCTGCTCTAGCTTGACAGCTCATCGACGCTCGACTTATAAACATGAGGCACCATCTGGTAAAACTGTCTCTCTTCCAACTTGGTTGATGTAACTATGAAGTTCATAATTATTACTCATAAAATCAGCCATTTTTTACTGCTTTCAATGTGCCGCTGTTACAGTTGCATGGCCTTCGAGGCAACAGCTCTGATTAAAACCCTGATCCTCAAGTAAGAATTAAAATTTCGTCAGCTGCCTAATAGTTAAAGCAATGCACAGTCAGAAAATGCTGAATATGCTTCCAGCCTGGCTAGAAGCAAGAGCATTCCTCCGATCATCTATCTGTGTTTGGTGTGCTGCTAATCTGCAAGGGCGACACCTGTTGGAGGGTCATCCCCATGTAAATATTACATGCGCAACAAGCACTTGCTAACCTCTCCGATTGTGTAAATAAGCGCTTCTCACACACCAAAGCCAGTGTTGTGCTTCCTCAACTCGCAAGGAAAAGCCTGCACCAAGTGTGTTGTAATCGTTACTGTTTCATCAACACTCGAAGTGCCCCAACGCACTCCCTCGAGCCACCCTACCCTCACCTATCTATCCAGTCAAACACTTAACGAACACCTGTCAATCGAATCATGCTTTTCAACAAAAATCCTTAACTCGTAGCCTCGTGCACTACAGTTGGGACACCACGTAGGATACCACATCCATCATTTTTCATCAGTCACTGCGGACTTCAAGAGGATCAGTGACAAATCCACACTATGTGCAAGCCATAAAGGAAAGGTCCATAATGTAGTCCACCTGATACACGTTGCCGTGGCCCTGGCTATTCTAAATGCAGAGCGCCTAGATTATTTTTATAGAAACACAATTACTGGAGAAAAAGATACTGTTGCTGTTAGTAAATATAACATGTTAGAGTCTTGATACACTTCTAAAAAATGTTTTGATCATGCAGTGTCACAACTTGAAGGCTGGACAAAGATGCTTGGTCTTACTTCACTTCGATTGAAAAATAGTTGAGCAGTGTGTAATGTCCAGCTTTTCAAGGTTTCTCGTACATGAAAACACCTTAGAAAGTGCCTGGTAATCGAGTTCAGAATGCCAGTTTCATGAGGATATGTCAAGAGTATACCCATGACAAATGTTTATCCGGACAGGTCCTGTGTAAACAGTGTAATATAACGAAGCAATTTTCACATTTTCGAAAAAATATTGCAGGGTGAATAGGATGTTTAGAAGCTCTCATATTCACTGCAGAAGTCGTAGCTTTAGAAAACGAGAAATGCATGTGCATCACACTACCGTACCTCTCACCCTTACACACGTGCCAATGCAAGCTCCATATTCCTGAACAGTGTTCATGTAAGAAAAGTGTACTGATTGTGTCAGCCCTTGTGAGCAGGCATGATACCTCTCCTGCTGAAAAATGTGTATGAAACAAGATGAGCTTAATGCTGCCTTTGCATTGTAGTTTGACAAAAATAAAATTATCCTAGGTCAGAGCCACCACAGTGGTGCAAAATACTTGTGCATTTTATAAAATGTCACTTGAGCACAAGTTTTGATGCACCAAATATAGAGAATCTTGCATCAATAAGAGACTCCTGTTAGACATTTCTTGCAGTGAAAGTGCTGGTTCGTCTGCCCCCAAGTTCTTAACGGAAGTGGCATTTCCAGGTGTCTCGATCAGTACCACACTTCGATGAGGTTTTTGTCCATTTTATTCCAGAGAAATTAAAAATGCGAAGCCACTTGCAACAATGCCACATAAAAGATGCCAGTTTTGTCAGAAAGAGAAATGCTGTGTTATCTGCCACTTGCAGGAGGGAAATAAACTGTGCTATCTATGAAGTGGACACACTTCCAAACATAGTGTCACTCATCAATTTATAAAATACATTTTTCTTGCTCAATAGGAAATTCTGAGGTACTATGAGTAAAGTGGGCAAGTACAGCATTGCCATGTGGTATTAAACACGACCCATTATGAAATGCCTCCCAAACTTAACATCTGAGAGCAGATAGGATGGTGGTTCATTAATAACAGCTTCTTATATTGACCTCACTTATCGACACAACATAGTGTAGATAACAGTGATGGATCCTACCTGACACTGTGCGACTTCAATGCAGTCGAGCAGATTAATTATCCTGCTCAGGAGTTTGTAGCTGTGCAAAAATAACACACACACTCCTTCATTAACACATGGACTGTGGAAAAGCCATTGTTTTGTCAACCATAGCCAGAGTTGGAGAAAGCGTTCTTCTAGAATATACAATATGTTTCATAGGGCCCTGAAACATCATGTGCCAATGTTGTGCTTTCCGTGATTCTACTTTGTTATCACTGTTCTTCACATTGTCTTTGTGCCCGAGAAGCCAATTGGAAAACTGTCAGTAGAAGGTTGAGATGCATGGCTAAAGGTGAAGCGTAGCTATTTTACTATGTGCACGTAATTGAGCATTCCACAATTGACTCCAACTATTGTTTTCAAGTGATGTTGCTGTTTGTAAATAAAAAAAACATACCATTATCTCTGACCATTTTTAATCTGTTATTCAACATCATTCACAAACAAGATGACGACAATGCATGAGTAAATGTGGTCTTTCTTTCTAACCAGACAAGAATGGCAAACTTCACAACAGCCCTTGGCGTTTCAGGTCCTCGAATGTCTTCTTGTTGACCACATTGCCTTGTGTGTCTTCATATTCCTCCTAACAGAAAAAACAAGCATATTGGAAATTAGAAAAAGCCTTAAGAAAGCCGCATATCCTTAAACACATTCTTAAGGAAGTCATCTCACAATAAATCAGTCATGCGAACGAGCAGACCTCACCTCAGTGCTTGCCTGAAACCTCTCCTTTGACTTCTCGTCCTTCAGCTTGTTCCACACTGAAAAAAAAATTTAAAAACCATGAAGAATTCTGAAAGTGTCAGTCAGTGAGGTAGTACAAAACAGTTTCACCATGAATTGTGGCTGCAAGCTAATATGTGATATATCCCATTCAAATTGGATTCGAAATCGCTCAATCGAATCGCTATTCGCTTCGAACCTACTATTTACTATTCGCACAGGCCTCCACTTCATACCTGCTTTCTAACCACAGCAACAAAGAACCAGCATCAATTTGCATGACGAATGTGCTTTTCCACTCTTTCATGCAAATTAACCCTGAATAATACTGCCCACATGACTCATGTTAGGCAAACACTCTTTAGGGAGTGCATTGGCCTATTTTTCCGGGACATGAAATGAGTGCTTACAGGTAAGTGCATCTTCAATCTGTGTCACATTGGCAAAGTGAGCAGTGTTTGGAATCCCCAGGCAACGCATACCATGAGCGTGGCGCCATTCCTGCAAAATCAAAAGGTGTAGCTCAACAACCAGAGTATATTTCACAACGGCACAGTTCATGATCAAGATTGGGAGAGTGACAGTGGTTGACGTACAGAAAAGCACAGGGGCATATTTTTATTTAAATTTCTAAGAGATCACAGGTTCGCCTTGGTGATGGTGACAGGCATATGATTCTTAGGCAAGAAAGAGAGCATTGTGACAAACGATCGCTACTCAGATCATCATACTGATCCCTCAATGCTGAATTTCGTGCTCTATATTCAAAAGCATGAGGGATAAGACGTGTAGATTTTTTTCTCAGCAACACTACGAAGGTCAACTTAATTCAAACTTTGCCTGCTATACTTTAACTACATATACTTTGTTTCATACATCTGGTGCAACACTGCGGAAGCTATGCAAGAAGTTAGGTCATCAAAATGTGTAAGTCTGTGCATCTTGTTCTAGATTTAGTCAGTGTATATGTGGCCTTTGCGATTGGCTCTGGCCGCACGCTACTAGAACTAATCTCGGTGGTCACGATACGAAAAATAGAGATGCTAAGAAACCCGAAACAATCGTATAAAAAATGTACTTAGTTGAGTTCTAAGGCACACTGTATTTTCATTTATTGCTCAGTCTAAAAACGAAAACTAATAAAATCACATTACAGGGTATGAAATCATTTAGCTATTTCTTGGTGTGAACAAACCTACAGTAAGAAGTCTCGCTAGCTTCCACAAGGTTGCATCTCGTGTGAAGCAGAATAAACGTCTGCAAAGTAAGGCACTACCAATCAGCAGCGGCCAAATTAGAGGAAATAATAATTGCTGAGGTTTAATGGCCCTAACACCATGACACGATTATGAGGGACCCCGCAGTAGAGGGCTCCGAAAATTTCAATAACCTGGGGTTCTTTATTTTGAACCTAACATCTAAGTTACTCAAGAATTTTCGCCTCAATCGAAAAGAAGTGCATTTGGAGCTCGATACCACAATCTTCAGGCCACCAGTAGAGCAACATAATCACTATATCTACATGGCTGGGCCAAGCTAAAGGTGGCAGCAAGGTTTCAACAATAAAATCTGTCATCCTATTTATGGTGCAGTGCCTGCAGGAACATTGTTAACGACTGCTTAGTATACTCGGTGCCTAGATCTGAATCTCCCGTACAGAGCACAATGTTTAATCAATCTACAAAACATAACAAACAATGCAAGCTAGCTTTCAAAGTGCACAGCATGACACTTCTCTGTTTTCAATAATGGGAAACAGAATAGGTGTTGATGAAGTCCTGCAACTTAAACTTTTTTTTTTTCTTGCCGTTCTCTGAATATGGGTAGAACGTCAGGCTATAGGTAGCTGGTTCACTTTACACAGCATGAAAGCGGCACTTCTGGCATTATTTATGAATGTATACAATAGACTCTTGCGAAACAAAACCAGACAGGCCAGGAAAATGTGTTTTGTTTAACAAGAGTTTTGTATACACAGAGATAAATAGGGGTGCAGAATTCAAGTACAAAACCAATCATATTAAAGGCAGTTGTCATTTAATTTGCACCTAACATCTAGGTACACGGGCCTCAAGCATTTTCGTCTCAATCGAAAATAAGTGGGGTTGGGACTCAATACCACCTCCTTCAGACCACCAGTAGAGCGACATGACCACTAGACCAACGTAGAAGCAATTTCGTTTAAGAGATTTGCATTTACTGAGAATCTACTGCAGTAATGTTAAACTAGGCTATGAATATCCGTAAACTAGCATATTCATGCAATGGCACATTTTACGAACGCCCTGTGATATAGGGTGCACAAGGGAACTGACAATTTATTAGCAAATACCCAATAATAACATACTTTTGAACACTTTTTCTGATTAAAACTCTTTAATTTTTTTAATACATAATGTAGAATGTGTGAATATGCTGCAAGTGAAGTCAGAAACAAAACTTTTCAGCATTTTCTTTTACATAATATCACCTTATTTAAATCAGATTCAGGATGTTGGCTATAACAAACCATAAAGACACTGCAAGTTAATGCAAGTAAAGACATTGCATTCAATTCAAACCCACTCTTGATAAAATTGAACTTTTACATGTAACTTACAGCAAAGTGCCTCTGGAAAGCCTTAGGTCCTCGGTAAATGAAATTGCCACAGATCTCGCAAGTGTAGCTGATGTTCAGACCAGTGCAACTTGTACAGCCAATAAGGAATGGGCTAAAATAAATGATCACAGAACACACAATCACAATTTATGCAGGTGACACAGGTAAAATGTAGGCTAAATATGAAGTAGAATTTGAGTCACCTGTAAGCACTATATGCAACGTCACAGGAAACATTTAAATATTATAAAATTATAATAAATTAGCATCAAATATATGAGCATGAAGAAAAACTAAGAGCACAAAAGCCAGAAGTGAGTGAGGAAAACACATTACAGTCGAACCACTTTGTAAGCGATAGTGATGTAATAGACGATTGGGTGCAAGAGACACCACGATGCCTACATTGAAATATGGGTTAATAAGAAAATGCATACATACATAGTAGCCTGCTCATAAAAGACACCTCATATAAAATACAAGACTTGCTGCACCTTTCTTATAAGGGGTTCAACTGTAATGCCAGCCGTAACCATCATATGCTTTGAAAGTAGGACAGCCAGGAAACCGCATCTTGCTTTATGATAGCTAAAGACGAGGCTGACAAAGTGTGAAAAGATGCGGCACTGCCCGCAACACTGCTTGACATATCCGCACTACTCAACATGTGCTATGAAATAAATCAAAACATACATCAAGCCTCATCATAACAGTCCCGTCTCGCACCAACAATATTTCTTCTATGCTATACATGCATTAAAAACCTTTTTGAGTGATAATAAGAACCAAAAAAACTTGATATTTAGTTTGTTACATCGAATAAATTATTTCCATTGTAGTACCAAGGTTCAACTGGGATACCTAGTGACCTACGATAGTACAAGCAAACGCAATTCAATATTTACCTTTCCATCCCAGCCAAGTGGCAGGTTTTTAGGATTGTAGATCACATCATTGTCCTCATCTTCAGACTCGCTCTCACTGATCTCATTGTCAGACTCCTCGCGCTCTCCAACTGTTCGAGCCTGCTTGCGCTGAACATTTTCTTTGGTTGCTTGCCGCTGTTCCTGTAAGTTATAAAGGATTGACAAAATAAGTGTAGAATAGCTGAGATGCTGGAAAATCTGAAATCATTGAGACTAAAAGCCGATTCTGACAGCAGTGGCACAACCATGAAAAAAAAAAATTCATGATCATGAATCAGTCATATGTTATATGCACAAGTGCAGGTGCTGGGTGCACCTTCTTTATTGAAGAAGTGAGAATAAATGAAAGAATAAATTTACCTAAAGTCTGGCAGTTTTCTTTCATAGAATTTTTTTTTCAGAGCTGACAAAAAAAAAAACAATGGTTCCCCAGAGTTCAATGAAAGATGGCTACATTATATAATACACAAAATATTTAGTGTCATGAAACTGTCTTGCAACAAAGTATACTAATAGTACTGTCAGACCATTCCAAACATTAGTGGACATATGTACATACGAAAGATGATGAGTCACCTGTAAAAAGGATAATGCCTGCCCTAGCTCAGGAAAGCCTAACTCCAGTCTTCAAGAAAGAGCCTGATACATTTTAACCCTTTGTGAGGCACTAATATCAAGCTGAAAGTTTTCGCTCAGCATATGCAGAACAGCATTTAAATTTAAGATGAATTAAGAAAACGGTGTCAAACATTTTCTCAAGTGATAAGAATAGAATTTGAGAAAAATGTGGTATACTTATAGCAGTGTCCTACTGTCTTTATAGTGACGCATGAAGAGTGGTGCATATATGTACTACTGTCCTCAAGGAGGTACCGAACAGAAAAAAATTTTTTAACAAGAAGATTATTTATAAATTTAATGGTGCTGTTTACTTTTCAAATTCTTCTAAGGGTTCAATAAACAGTGGAACTTGGTATTTGGTGCACAAATAACTACTGTACATTTATTTTGAGCACACACGAAGGTGACCTGCGACAGGTACACATCAACTAACACAATTTTGCGAGTACTATACATAATTAGTTACACCTTAAAGCGAACTACGATTAATGCCGGTTCAAATTAAAGCTCCACTACAATAAAATGAA